AGCGGTTTCTGTCAGAGCTCTCTCAGCCCCGCCTACCTCACAGGGTGTCTGTTGTGGGGAGGGGAAGGGAAAGAAGTTTGTAAGCCGCTCTGAGACACCTTTGGGTAGTGAAGGGCGGGGTATAAATCCAATCTCCTCTTCTTCTTTTACCTCACAGGGTGGCTGTTGTGGGGAGGGGAAGGGAAAGGAGTTTGTCAGCCGCTCTGAGACTCCTTCGGGTAGTGAAGGGCCGGAGGGTATAAATCCAATCTCCTCTTCTTCTTCTATAAATAAATGTTATTTTTTTATTTTAAGCCTGCATAATGACTGATGTCATGGTTGCCCTTCCTTGACAGAACGACGATGCGATGGGCCTGGCCAGTCCCATAGACAGCGCTTTCTACCGCACTTTGCTGGAAGAGGAGGACATGCAGGATCTGGTGGATGCCGAAGAGTACCTGGTCCCCCACCAGGGCTTCTTCAGTGCCGAGATGTCGTCCGACTACCGATCCAGGATCCCCTCCACCAGAGTAAGCACAAAGCTCGGATGCTCTGGGCAAAGCCGGCTTGTCTCTTGGCCGCTCTGGGCTTCCAGTGCGCTCTGCTCCTCTCTCCTTTCGGGTGCTCACGGGCATGATGGAATGCGCTCATCCGTTCCCGGCTGTCCCCTTTGCTGTGTAGCTGCCAGCTGGGTGGCAGACGCCACTGCAGGGACGAGTTACAAAATTCCAGACGTCCTCCTCCACTCAGGCACAGGCTACGAAATGGCCCTAAAGTCTTCCTTGGATCTTTGCTCTTTCTCTCTTCTGGGCTGAGACGGCTGTCTCTCAGCTTGCCTTTTTCAAATCAGAGGACCCAGTTACTGAGCCTCATGATTTCGCCACGGGCAAATCCATCGCTGATGCATCCCTCCAGGGATCATTTCGTAGAAAAAGAGGCGCAGGAGCTCATTAGCATAACTCATTAGCATAACTCGTTTGCATGTGCCGCACCGCCTGTCATCACCAGACATGTGTCAGAAGGCAACACCCACCGCTCAGGCTCCACTGGAATGTTTTGGATTGCTAGCTATTGGGGGGAGGGGGAACGTGCAGATCTGTCCTCGCAGAGGAGGGAGAGCTTGTACCTGAATAAAACTTGGTCTTAAAGGTGTCACTGGACTGTTTTGGATTGCTAGCTATTGGGGGGAGGGTGCAGATCTGTCCTCGCAGAGGAGGGAGAGCTTGTACCTGAATAAAACTTGATCTTAAAGGTTCCACTGGACTGTTTTGAACTGGGGTCCGGGGGGGGGGGGGCTGGCTGCTTCTTGCTCTGACTGAGGGCTGCTGGGAGCAGGGGGCGGGACTTGTTGCATGTGCCCACCCCCTGGGCTCTATACTGCCGGAGCTCCGCTCCTGTGCACTCCTGCAGGAAATGACCCCTGCATCCCTATGTTTCCCTCCAGAGTGCCACAGAAACTCAGGCGCACACAGAGGAGGCGGAGGCAGAGGCTCAGAATCCTTACCTGGGCCCAGATCTCCCGGAACACTTAGAACCCATCCCTCTCTGCGCCCTGGAGGACGACTACGCAGGCAGGAAGTCGCTGTGGATGCCGCCGCTGCTGCTGCAGGAGCCTATCACGCTACAGCGCTACAGCGAAGACCCTACCAGTGCTTCGATGAGTGAAAACGAGAGCCTGGAAGCTAAGAACTACAGTTCACCTGTACCTTGTGGAGTTGTTCCAGGTACAAGTTAATTTTTGATATGTATGACTGCCAGTGTGGTGTAGTGGTTAAGAGTGTCGGTCTTGTATCTGGGAGACCCAGGTTTGAATCCCCCCCCCCCGACGTGCCATGGAAGCTCGCTGGGTGACCTTGGGCTGGTCGCACGCTCTCAGCCTAACCTACCTCACAGGGTTGTTGAGAGGATAAAATGGAGAAGAATGAAGTGGTAAGCTCCTTTGGGTCCCCACTGGGGAAAAGGATGGGATATAAATCAATGGAATAAAATTTATTCAATGCACGGGCAACCAAAGGCATGGGCAACCAAATGGATGCAGGCTTAGTTTTGTTTCTAAAGAAAGTTTCTAGTCCTCTTGACTGACTTTTTGTTTTCTAAGTATGTCAGTCATGAGTTGTCGAGAACAGGGGGAATGAAAGTTGCTGAGCGATTATTAGGTAAAACATGGATGCCCTGTCTCTCCTCATGGTGGCTTACACATCATAATTGCAAGCACAACCCTTAAAAATGTACAAAATAAACCACCTCCCCTTGTGGTCTTCACCCCATTAAAAGCCCTTGCAAATAAAATGGCCTTGATGCCCCTCCTGAATATTTCAAACCCCCCCCCCCAAGTTGGTTCCACAAAGTGGGAGCTCCAGTGGAAAAGGTTCAGGCTATGGTGGATGCCAGCTGGGCTACCTGACAGCCAGAGGGGGGCTGCCTGAGGACTGCAGTTGGCGCATGGGGATATACAGGAGATGGTCCTGGATCAGGCCCGTAGCTACGGTGGGGCTTGGGGGGGGGGCTCTGCCCCCTTTCTTCAAGGCACAGCCCCACAAGAATTTCTCCTGTGAATGCTTTTTCCAGTCATTTCAAAACTTTTTTTTAAAGGCGTGCAGTCCTTTAAGCAGAGCAGGGTGCTGTAGTCGACTAATTCCCGCACTGAACAAGAGGGTTGGAGTAGATGACCTCTAGGATCCCTTCTAACTCTGTCTCAAGAAACTGGCCTCCTTTAAGAGAGCTTTTCTGCCTCAGTGTTAGCTTTCTTGACTATAGAAGTCATCACTCCCAGCTGCCGGCCTGTTCTCAGAACTGTTGCTGCGTTTGGCAGAAGTGATTAACTTGCAGCAGCTGAGAACTGTCATCTCAAGTGGTCAGCAGCTTGCAGTTTAGAGATTTTATCCTGGTCACAGCTTTCTGCTGGCTAAATGGTTAATAGGCTAAGGGTGATTGCTGGCATAAGAACGTCTATGTAGAACAGACAGCTCGAGAAGACTTAGAGGGAGAAGAGTACCTGAGTCCTAATCCTCAGAATTCTGGCTTTTCTTTCTGTGCCGAGAACTTCGGCCCCACCAGGAAAAAAAAATTACCCCACAAGCCACAAAATCCTAGCTACGGGCCTGTTCTTGATCGGCTTCCACAGCTTGCCCTTTTCCATTCCTTTTGGGGGTTTAATTCCCCTGTTGTTAGCTTCTGACCGTTATCCTACATGGTGCTCAAAGATAGCTGATAAAATTAAGCGGATTGGCTTGTACCCAGCAGGCCTGTTTGATATGGGACTCAACAAAGCAAAAACCTGATCACCCAAAGGTTAATTGATATAGAGTCCCAAAATGACAAAGCAATACTTCCTTTAAATTATCAAAGCTTAAGAAAAGAATTGAGGTACACTATGTCCCCATATCTTTCGGATATTACAAATGAAAGATGCAGATGGGCCTTCTCTAGAGCACGGTTTGATGCATTTCCCTCCGCAGTTTTGTATGGAAGGTTCTCCCACCTACCCCTTGCAGCAGCGTTGCTGTCCCTGTTCAAATAAAGTGGTTGAATCTATCAGAGATATACTTTTGCACTGCGAATTCTATCAAGAAGAAAGGCTACAATTAATTATTCCATTACTCTGCAGATTTAAACCATTACAGTATTATATAGATTTTAGTCCTGAAACCCTTTGGGTATATCTATTAGGTGATAGCCATAGAACTATATCATATGCAGTAGCAAAATTCTGTGTGATAGCACTCAAAAAGCGGTATCACTTGATGAAGGAAACGTCAGTTGCTGGGAAATAAATTAATGACACGAGTGTGTCTTTTACACATATATCCCCATACCTTTTATGTATTTATTCATTTTAAAATTGTCCGTTTTTATCTGCATTTATTGTGACTGGTCTTATGACTGTAGTAAACTTTTGAACGCTGAACATTCCTTTTGGCTTTTCCCCCTTCCCCCCGCAGAATATGTGAACCAGCTGGAGAACAGCCTCTCACCCGGCAAAAGCCTGCGTACGCCGGGATCCACGCTGGAAAAGCCGAAAGGCCATCTGGGCAAGAACGGGCTCATCAAGGAACCAAAGAGCACCTTCCACAGCAGCTTCCCCAACGTGGTGGAGAACCCGGAGTATCTGACCCCGCGCAACCTCCCTGTGGCTGGCCCCTTGCCGCAGGCCTTCGACAACCTTTATTACTGGAACCAGGAGACCCCCATGAGCCACCTGGCGGAATTGTTTCCCGCCTCTGCTGCCGCCGCCGCCGCCTCCACAAACAGCTTCGCCACGACGCCGACCGCGGAGAACCTGGAGTACCTCGGCCTGGCGGAATCGGTCCCTCATTCCAAGGACTCGTCGGCCTAAAGGGCCTCCGCCCCTGTCAGCAGTGAAATCCGAGTTTCACAATCCAGGCAGCTCAGGACACAAGCTCACCGACTGTTGATGGACATAAGACGGCAGGGATACCGCGAGGTTTCGGTGCCTCGCTTGGGGCCGAGCAGCCCCGCTCTCCCCCCTCACAGCCGGGCTCATGTCCTGTCAAGAGCAGTCTCCCAAATCGTGCCCGTTTGGGCAAGCCAGCCGCGGCTTGGTTGGGCGAGGAAACAAAACGGAGGGTTCGTTCAGCCCGCCCCCTCTTCCGTCTCCCGCCTTTGTCTTCCTTGGCTCTCGAGAGAAAAAAAAAATAAGGTCAGGAAAAGAGCTAAAGCGTCGGAACGATGACATGGCTCATGAAACTTTGGCGGGCTTTCTTAACTGGAGTCACTACAATTGCGAGGACACACAAAGAAACGAAGTCCCCAGTGTTGGTGTATCCTATAACCTTTGTCGGTTTGTTTTGATAGCAGTGGGGTAAAAGGGAACGTTTGACCTTAATGATCAGAAAAAGACTGACCTTCCGAGGGGTTATGGTGAAAGAACCTGTGGTGGAATGGACACAAAACCCCTCTCATGAGGGTGTGGGGAGAGAACACTGTTGTTGTTGTTGTTGTTCAGTTGTACGGTCGAGTCCGACTCTTCGCGACCCCATGGACCAGATCCCGCCAGGCCCTCCGGTCTTCCGCCGTCCTCTCAAGTTTGCTCAATTTCTTGTTTGTTGCATCTGTGACACTGTCCAACCGTCTCATCCTTTGCCGTCCCCGTCTTCTTTCTTTCCCAGCATCAGGGTCTTCTTCTCCAGGGAGTGCTCCCTTCTCATTGGGTGGCCAAAGTCTTTGAGCTTCAAATGCAACCGGGGGGGGGGGGTCCTTACCGTCTGAACGTTGAAAGAAGAGTCAAGGTCAGACGGGGCACCAAAATTGTCTTTGGTACATACTATAGGCAGTTTGGTCTGAAGAGAATCTGAACAGATTCAGAGCGTTTTCCCTGTTTTAAATAACACCCAATGTTATGCTCTTTTCTTAGTGCCGTGGTCTGTACCCCCAACACTTGCAGCTTTTCTTTTGAGACCACTGGATCAAAAGCTGAGAGCAGGTCGGCAGTCGGTGGGGGCAAAGTGGAGGAAAGGAGAGGTTAAGTCATGCCAGTTCTGTGGGAACCAGACGCCCGCTTTACTGATGATCTTGGAATATTTATTACGTTGAAGTATGTCAGGGCATTTTGGATACCACAGTTACACCAGAGGCAAAGAAAACTGTAGGATGTGGTCCGTGGAGGCAAATTTTAAGTTCCCAAGAATTTTCTTTAAGTTCCCAAGAATTTTCTTTTTCTTTCTTTGCTGTTCTAAAAGCAAGTTTCTAGTCCTTATGGCCGTGATCTGCCTGTAAAGGTAAAGGTCTCCCTTGCTCGAAAGCCAGTCGAGTCCGACTCTAGGGTTGCGGTGCTCATCTCCGTTTCTGAGCCGAAGAGCCAGCGCTGTCCGAAGACGTTTCCGTGGTCATGTGGCCGGCATGACTAAACACCGAGGCGCATGGAACGCTGTTCCCTTGAGAGTGGCGTAAAAGGTCTCTGGTCTCAGAAACCAGAGATAACTGAGTACGACAGCCACTCACGTTAGGGTGGAACATCAGTGTTTCACACACCCCATTGCTCCACACCCGTGATGAAGAAAAGCGTGAAAACTGGAGAATAAATTATGCTATGCAATAGAAACCATGCCGATTTGCTGAGTTTGCATAACTCACGCAGGTCACAGGACAAGAGTTTCTCTTCTGCACAACCGTGAATTATGGGATGACGCTCAGCCTTTCTCTTAGAGGAGACTGTATGTTTTACCCTCCTGGCAATGGGCATGAAATTGGCTTTCTTCCCACATGAGCTTCGGTCTTGCTACAGCCGTCCACGCTGGGCAGTCCTCCCTCCTAGGCCTGTAGGCTTTCTCACACATGGGCTGGTCCTTTGTCTAGGATTCAGCTCACGTTGCATAGGTCATTCTGGAATTGGGACACCTCTGAAAGCCACAGGGTTAGAACAACGGCTGCAAAGAGCGTCTCGGGAAGGGAGGGAAGCCACCGGCCTTGGGCTCAGGTGGCCAATAACCCGCCTTGACTTTCTCATGCATCTCCTCTCTCCTGGTTGAGAGGGAAGCCATGTCATTGGCAATGGGCAGGGGCAGTGTTCCCTCTAAGTCAGTGGTGGCGAACCTATGGCACGGGTGCCAGAGGTGGCACTCAGAGCCCTCTCTGCGGGCACGCGTGCCATCGCCCCAGCCAGGCCCAGACCATCATTAAAGTGTCGAATTCTCTGCCAAATAATTTTAAGTAAATGAAAGCATTTGGGATTGCTTTCCTTACTTTGTTTGGATCATCTTAAGTTAACGTATGGGTTGTTTTTTTCTAAAGTAAAACCTCAGTGTTCAGGTTAAATGGCCGTGTGGGCACTTTGCGATCAATAAGTGGGTTTTGGGTTGCAGTTTGGGCACGCGGTCCCTAAAAGGTTCGCCATCACTGCTCTAAGCTGTGCATGTGAGTGGCCGCTCATGAACACGGGAAGCCCCGCTCAGCAGCAGACTGGAGCCACGCAGGGTCTCGCACTGCCCATGGCCCATGTGAAGGTTACAGCAGGTATATCCTGCTCAGGATTCAAACCGCTCCTGTCAGTAGGGCGGGAAATTGGAACACTGGTGAGGGGGGCTGCGTCAGGCAGCAGATTTGGGGTGCTGCTAAGTGTAACAGGAGGCAGGCAAGCCGCGCGCACAACCCATTCTGTGTAAGCCCTTTTGTCCAACGCCACTCTTTGTTTCAGCTGGGCACCGGCAGAGCGTCTCAGCGGGTTGTGCCTCTGCAGCTTTATACGAGAGCCTTTGGGGTTTTCCAGGGGCACCCAAATCGTCTTGGGCCACCTCTGGGCTGTGAAGGGGAGGAAGGCAGCTGGAGCCTTTTGCAAGGGACCCCAGGGGCCTGTCTGGGCCCGTACCCTCCTGTCCTGCTTCCCCTTTCCCATGGCGACGCTCCTTGCATTGGGATTTGCCCGCTTCCTCCGACGACAATTGCAAATCAAGGCTAACCGTCCCCTGTGGTGCCTTTGCACAGGACAGACCGTTGTGCCAAAGAGAAAGGTGACGGCGGAGAGGGGACCTGGAACTTGATGGCATCTTGGGACAGCGAAGCAGCTGGGCTTGCACAGAGGGAAAGTCACTCAAAGCAGGTTAGCTGGGTGACTCAATTTGCCACTGGAGCCAACGACGGGCAGTCGTTCTAAGGGCACAGACACTTGTACTAAATGGGCCGCCCTGGGCATCTTCTGCAGAGATTCCTCTTGATTCGCACAAGAGGGAAGTTGAAGTCTTGCAGACTCTCTGAGGCGGGGTAGACGGGAACAAAGTCACTTTCTATTTATGAAGACCACACCTTCCGCCCCCTGCCCCCGCGTTCCTCTGGAACCCTCGTTTCCAAACCTGCGCTCTTTTTGGTGTATCCAAGATTTATCTGCTGCGGATTACTTTTAAAGAAAATCAGCCATGTTACAAGTATTTGTATATCTGCAATTCGTACACCGGTTTTCGTTTTCTACTCCTTGGCTCGTGTTGTTCTTTGCGGGAGGGGCTCTTTTGGTGTGGACTCCCACCTCCTCCGGGGTGCCAGATCCACCGCCTTTAGGTTTCCAGCTGTGGGTTGGGAAATATCTGGAGATGTGGGGGGTTGGAGCCCGGAGACGGCAGGGTCTGGGGAGAGGAGGGACCTCAGCAGGGCCCAGTGCCGCGGACTCCACCCTCCAGGGTGGCCGTGTTGTCCGGGGGAATTGATCTCGGTCTCCTAGAGATCAATCGCAATAGCAGATTTCCAGGTGCTACCTTGTGGTTTGGCCACCTTTCCTGTACGGTTTGAGGAAATTGGAGCTGGCACTTCTGTATCCAAACAATTGTTACAAACAGAATACCTACCCACATGCAAAAACAAAACAAACCTTTTTCTTTTCTTGTGACAACAGCACCTCCTAAAGGAAGAAATGTATCTTGTTCTTGCATTGGAGAGTTTAGTTTGTAACCTAGGACTTGCTTGTCCTCAATGCACAGAAATTAGATCAATCTGATACCATACATATTGTTTAGAAATTATTTGGAAAATATTTGAACACCTTGTCCTAAAATATTTTATTCATCACTAGGAAAAAGGTCCGTTGTGGAAATAAATACAACGAGATCTAGAAAGAGGGTCTGGGCAGGTGCCCCATTCTTGGGAACTCAGCGTAAATTTGCTGTGGCCGTGCTCTGAAGCCCTGACTGCTACGTCAAATTGGCTGTCATACGGGGGCCAACTCAGCAGCATATAAGGATACAGAGTCCACCATTTTCTCCAGGGGAACTGATCTCTGCCATCTGGAAAGCAGTTGTAATTCTGAGTGCTCTCCAGCCCTCACCTGGAGATTGGACACATTTTACCTCAGAACAGCAAACTGTTTAGAATGTTAGAGGCAAAAGCCAATCAAGTTGCATATGCAAACGACCTCTGTGTTCCGAGGCAAAGGCCAATGAGGCTGCGTATGCAAATAACCTCTGGCACTTCTGTTGAGGTGAGACCGTGGTCTATAGATGCTGGGTGGCAAGATGGAAAGAGGACTCCCCAGGGACTCCACCCTCTCTGGGAGTATCGGCAGAATCTCCGCTGAAGCAAATGGGGAAGCACCAGGGGAGGAGGGTGTGTGTGCACTCTTTGGACCATATTTTGGTCAGTTCTTGGTGTTTTCTAAGCTTCGAGAACGGACTGGGGCAGCTAAGGTTGGTACGTGTGCCTTAACGGCAAAGCATTCCTACCACCTATTTCCCCCAAAAAGGCTCTTTGGAGTCTGCTCTTAGTGGAAAGCTGGTAACAGGTGTTCTATAGGTAGACAAAAGAAGAAATTGGATTTATACCTCGCCCTTCACTACCCAGAGGTGTCTCAGAGCGGCTTACAAACTCCTCTCCCTTCCCCTCCCCACCACAGACACCCTGTGAGGTGGGTGGGGCTGAGAGAGCTCTTGACAGAAACGGCTCTTTTTCTAGGACAGCTCTTATCAGAACCACGGCTTGCCCAAGGTCATCCAGCCAGTTGCGAGTGGAGGAGTGGGGAATCAAACCCAGCTCTCCCAGATTAGAGTCCGCGCACTTAACAACGACACCAAACTGGCTCTCAAAGTGATCTTGCCTGACCGACCTTTCATGGCACCCTTATCCTCTGTGCCTGTGCAATAGAAGCAGGGCCTTCCAAAATAACCAGCAACACATGACAGCGCTGTAGAAGAAGAAGAAGAGATTGGATTCATACCCCGCCCTTCACTACCCAAAGGAGTCTCAGAGCGGCCTACAAACTCCTTTCCCTTCCCCTCCCCACAACAGACACCCTGTGAGGTAAAAGAAGAAGAAGAGGAGATTGGATTTATACCCCGCCCTTCACTACCCATAGGGGTCTCAGAGCGGCTTACAAACTCCTTTCCCTTCCCCACCACAGACACCCTGTGAGGTGGGTGGAGCTGAGAGTGCTTTTGACAAAAAGGGCTCTTTTTCAAGAACAGCTGTGTCAGAACTATGGCTTGCCCAAGATCATCCAGCCAGGTGCAAGTGGAGGAGTGGGGAATCCAACCCGGTTTTCCCAGATTAGAGTCCGCGCACTTAACCACGACACCAAACTGGCACTACACCAAGCTTCCCTGTCGCCACAGAGGGACCGACGGGGACTTCCACGGGGAAGGTTTCCCTGCGCGAGTGCCCCCGGCAAGCACCACTTCACAACACTGGGAATTTTTCAATTAAAAAAAAATGTTGGTAATTGAATATCATTATAACTGTCTTGCATACCAAAGAGACTTTGAAAACCCCCCCTTCCATTTTTTTTTAAAGCCAGTCTCTAGTACAGGGGTCTGGTGCCCTCCCAACAACTTTCCTAGCGCCCACTAAGTGTTTTTAGGAATGGGTGGCCAGGAGGCGTCAGCTAACAGGACAGTATTGGTTTTATTCCAACACCTTGTTTCCAGTGTGTTTTTAAAATTTACTCTCCTCGTCCCCTGCACTTCAGCTTCCTCTGTGTGCCCAATAGGCTCTGCTTCCCAAGGTGGGGACCCTGATTTGGGAGAACCAGGTTTGATTCCCCCACATGCAGCAGCTGGTGTGACCTTGGGTCAGTCACAAGTTCTCTCAAAGCCGTTCTCAGTCAGAGCTGTCTCAGCCCTGCCTACTTCACAGCCAATGCTCCCTCAAAGCGGTGGGAGTCTGGTGAGCAGAAATCCCACTTTGTGAGCTGCTAGCATTAAAGTTGTAAGCAAGCGATTCAGCCACTGCATAAATTAGTTGGCTCTGGAGCCGTCCTCCCCGAGTGAAGGCAAAAAGGTGTGAGCCGGGAGCTAAAAAACTGTGAGCTAGCTCATGCTAACTCAGCTTAGAGGGAACACTGCTCACAGGGTGTCTTCTTGTGGGGAGGGGAAAGGAAAGGAGATCGTTAAGCCGCTCTGAGACTCCTTCAAGTAGTGGGGGGGTATAAATCCAGTCTGTTCTTCCTTCTTTGTTGTTGGGCCCAGTGCCCACCACCCTGTGTCAGAATTTCAAAGGTACTGCTGCTCACGGGTTCAAAAAAGTTGGGTACCTCTGCCCGAGGACCCTCAGTTGCTGAGGTAAGCCTCTCCCCTTTGTCCCTGCAGTGAAAGAGGCTGGAGACCAGTGTTTCCTCTAAGCTGAGTGAGTGTGAGGTAGCTCATAGTTTTTTAGCCTCCGGCTCACACATTCTTGTCTCAGTTCAGGAAGGATGGCTCCAGAGCAAACTGATTGATGCAGCAGCCAAATCGCTCGCTCACAAATTTAATGCCAGGAGCTCACAAAGTAGAATTTTTTCTCACAAGACTCCACAGCTTAGAGGGAGCCTTGGTCCAGTGGCACCTTTAAGGCCAACAAAGTTTAATCCTGGGCAGTGTTCCCTCTAAGCTGAGTTAGTGTGAGCTAGCTCACAGTTTGTTAGCCTCCGGCTCACACCTTTTTGTCTTGGCTCAGGAAGGAGGGCTCCAGAGCAAACTAACTTATGCAGCAGCCAAATCGCTCGCTCACAACTTTAGTGCCAGCCGCTCACAAAGTCGATTTTTTGCTCACAAGACACAGCTTAGAGGGAGCATTGCTGGAGACACCTTTTCTTTTAAAGAGCTGGGAACTGAGAGGACACAGCAGCCGTCCAAACTTCGTCACAAAGCAGGTTTGAGAAAAAGTGGGGGGAAACTTCAAAGGGCAACCAGCCCCCCTTTGGGTGTAGTGCCCCTGCAGAAGGGGGGCCACGTAGGGAGAGGAGCCCCCCCTCCCTTGAGTCTTAGCCCAATGGGATCCCTCCCAGAAGCCATTTCACTACTTTTTGCACACTGGGTAATCCATGAGCCATTAAAATAGGTCTGTGGATGAGGTGAGCTGGCTGCAGGCACAAAATCTTTTTGCTGAAAGAAAAGGACCGAGGCTGGACTTGGATGCATCCTGGATGGGGGACTCTCTTCTGGGTAGCAGTGTGCGTGGACAAGATCTCGGGGTACAGGTGGGACTGGAAGCTCAATATGAGCGGTTCCTGTGATGCAGCTGCAAAAAAAAAAGGCTAATGCGATCTTGGGGTGTCTCAATAGAGGCATAAATCCGTACTTCAACACTGGACACCTGCGCCCTTGAGGAAAACGAACCACCATCGAATCCACCGCCAAATCCAAGAAAGACCCTGCTGTTAGGTGCCTAGTTAGGAAAAATACCCTCCCCTCACCATTGTATTCCTAGCGTCGATAAAATTGTGTCTGTAAACCGCTCTGAGGCTCGCAAATGTAATGTCATGTAATAACACCCAGGGGTCATTTCGTAGAAAAAGAGGTGCAGGAGCTCATTAGCATAACTCATTTGCATCCACACCCCCTGACATCACCGGAAGTGTGTCAGAAGGCAACACCCACTGCTCAGGCTCCACTGGACTGGTTTGGATTGCTAGCTATTGGGGGGGTGGGGAGAATGTGCAGATCTGTCCTCGCAGAGGAGGGAGAGCTTCTACCTGAATAAAACTTGGGTCTTAAAAGATGCCACTGGACTGTTTTGGAAGGGGGGGGAGTTCTGCAGCTTACCTGGCTGCTTCTTGCTCTGACTGAGGGCTGCTGGGAGCAGGGGGTGGGGCTTGTTGCATGTGCCCACCCCCTGGGCTCTTTACTGCAGGAGCTCCGCTCCTGTGCGCTCCTGCAGGAAATGACTCCTGTTAACACCCAAAGCACAAGAGGTCCTCATCCACTATACATGGCATTGGTCAAGCTGCACCTGGAGTACTGTGTGCAGTTAAGGAGGCCCAAAAGGGTGTGGACAGAATGGAGCGGGTGCAAAGGAGAGGATTAAGGACGATCGGGGGGCCTGGAGACCAAGAGGCCCTGTGAAGAAAGGCTGAGGGACTGGAGAATGTTCAGTCTGGAGAAGAGGAGGTTGAGGGGGGGGGGACACGGTTGCTCTCTTGAAGGACCTGAAAGGCTGTCACTTAGAGGAGGGCAGGGCGTGGTTCCTGTTGGCAGCAGGGGACAGGAGGATTCGCAAGAATGGGTTGAAATTACAGGTGGGAAAGTACTGGCTGGATATTAAGAAACTTTTTTACAGAAAGAGTAGTTCAGCAGCGGAATGCGCTGCCTAGGGAGGTGGCGAGCTTCCTCCGCACTGGGAGTCTTCAAGCAGCGGCTGGAGGAACACTGGTCAGGGATGCTCTAAGCTGATCCTGCATGGAGCCAGGGGGTCAGACTAGATGGCCCATGTAGGGCCCCTTCCAACTCTGTGATTCTGTGACTTTGAGGACTCTCTTGCCTCGACTACATGACTGTGGTTTTGGGTGGAGACAAGACAAAAGTAAAAGGTCCCCTTGCTCGAAAGCCAGTCAGGTCCGACTCTAGGGTTGCGGTGCTCATCTCCGTTTCAAAGCCAAAGAGCCAGCGCTGTCCGAAGACGTTTCCGTGGTCATGTGGCCGGCACGACTAAACACCAAGGTGCACGGAACGCTGTTCCCTTCCCACCAAAGTGTTCCCTATTTATCTAATTGCAATTTCTTGCTTTCGAACTGCTAGGTTGGCAGGAGGAGACAAGACAAACTCGCTCTCAAATCCACGGCTGTTCTTTTGCCAAAATAATCTTGGATGCACCCGAGAACAAGCCCTGAGCCTTACGAACGTGGGCCGCACCCCACCCGGGAACTCTGGGGCACGGCGCGGTCCCCCTTCCTCCATCCTAACCGCTTCCACGGTGCTAACTGGAACGTTCCTTGTTCTGTTCTTTCCCCCCACACACACTATTTACCACAAGCATTTAACCTTTTATTTTTAATACAATATATATAATATATAATATATATATTAGCGAATAGATTCATCAACATTCTCAGCACACGAATTGGGCAACAAGCAGCAGTGTTGGCTCTTCCTCGACTCCCAGCCGCCTCCGTATGTGTGTGTGTGTGTGTGTGCGCGCGCGTGCGTAGGGCTCTTTTTGTAGCAGGAACTCCTTTGCATATTAGGCGACACACCCCTAATGTAGCCAATCCTCCAAGAGCTTACAGTAGCCCCTGTAAGAAGAGCTCTGTAAGCTCTCGGAGGATTGGCTACATTAGGGGTGTGTTGCCTAATATGCAAAGGAGTTCCTGCTACAAAAAGAGCCCTGTCAATGTGTATCTTCTCACAGTTGGCCGCACCGTTGACACTCAGCCTCAGCGCTCCCAAGGTGGCAGAGAAAGAGGTGAAAAACGGGGTGCTAGAGGCCTAGGAGCTTGGTAGCAGGAGGGGAGAGGCAAAGGTGGAATCAGACCTGCCAGGCACAAACTGGTGGTGCTAAGAGAGACGCGGCCTCCGCCTCTCCTTCCTCGGTCACAGAAAAAGCACCCTAATGCTGAGATTCTCTCTCCCTCACACACACACACACCCCTGCTCCATCTTACCACTTGTTGCTTGAACAGTTACAGAGACTCGTATCACAGCTTTGGCATCATGGCGATGCGACCCACGAAAAGACGAGTGTGGGGGGATGGGGAGGGGGGTAAAGCTAGGCACTGAATTCCCATCTGAAGGAAGTGTTGGGCGGGGACAGAATGGGAGGGCGGTCCAGCCAAAACCAACGGAATTTTTTTTTTTGTAAATGCTTAAAAATGGGTCTACAACTCTTGGCGAGCGACAGGCAAGAGTCGGGCAGACGTTTAAACGTTCGGGAAAGCGTCGGCGCTCCGGTTGAAAAGAGGAATGTAAATGAGTGGTAAGTTCCAAAGTTCTGTCTCTCAGTCTCAGGCTTCAGACTTGAGAGTCTGAAGCCTGAGACTGAGAGACAGAACTTTGGAACTTACCACTCGTTCACATTCCTCTTTTCAACCGGCCTAGGGGGCTCCTGAGTGGTTCCAAGCACCTGGCTGGCAAACAGCGAGTTGGGCAGGTGTGGTTTTTAAAAAAGAGCTCAGCCTATTCCTCTCTTTTGTCCCATTTCCCCCCCCCCCCCCGAATAAGGTTTGGGAAGGATCCCTCCTAAGTCCTGCCTGTTGCTGGGGCCATGTCCGGGCCCTCCCCCAAAGCACCTGACCTTTCCTGCGCAACAGAGGGCTTTGCTACATTCTCATTTTCCTTGCTTGTAAGTGCCTGTTTCTTTAGGGGGTGGGGGGGTCTGTTCTGCACACATTTTGCTCCCTCTAGTGGTCGATTCAATACTACATCCAAATTATGCCCACTGTACCTCCCTGCAGATTTAAACTGCAGGTTTTTATGTCAGACATCAACTGGTGCAGCAATACTGAATACACCACTAGGAGCAAAACACGTGGCGGAACTCCCCCCCCCCCGAAACAGAACGTGCAAGCGAGGGAAAATAATGCAGAAAAGCCCAAAAAGGGACTTCCTGTCGAAAATTCATAGGGCTCCGGTAAGCTCCAACCTTCCTGTTCGGAAACATTCAGCCGGGTCATGCTCGACACTGAAAGGTGGATGTTAAACCTTAAATTACACAAGACCTTCTTTAAAGCTGTGTTGGGGGGGGTCCAGTATAGCTGCTACTGCTGCATTGCTCACGGCGAGAGGGTTTTTTTTGCCAGGAAGCAATGATTTAAAACTCTGCTCCCGTCCCATTCTCCACTACACAGGAGGGGCGTGCTGTCCTTCCGAACCTCCTTTATAGCACAAATCCTGCTCAGAGTGGTATTTTCAAGACCCTTTAGCAAAAGTCCCTCCAGTGCTTCAGGCCTTATAAAGAGCTTGCTCTGGTCAGAAGGGGAGGAAAAAGGAGCCTGCATCCCAGAACAAAGCCCCAACATCGCACACGAGAAAGAGGACCAGGTTCTAAAAGGGGGGGGGGGAGAAGAGCTCTATGCTGAGATGGCAGATCGCAAATGCGGCTGTTAAGTGAAGACGTGAGTCCATCCTCGTCTAAAAATGAGGGCTGAGGAGAACTTCCCTGAAGGAGAAAGGCTTGCCCAGCCTATTTTGACAGGCCCCGAGGTCCCCACCCCACAATCCCTTCCTGTGGCTCTTGCCTATAAGGATCCCTGGCCTGAAACAACCAAAAATACCTTGACGCTGCTCCTGCAGCCCCACTTAGTCAGGTCCTTACACCTGGAGGCAGAGGTCAGGAGAGCTAGAAGTCAGCTGGGGTGAGGGGCAGGAGAAAAGGAGGGGGGCATCAAAAGACAGGAAGTGGGGAGGGCGGGGCTAAAGGATGACGCACGGCGGACGGCTCTTGGTGATCTTCTCGAGCGGCTCCCCATTTCTGGCCCTCCGGATGGCTTCGATGAGCTGAAGGGGTAGGAGAGAAAAGCAAGAGACGTCAGCCCTTCCAGGAGGGGTCGGGGGGGCTCATCTGGACTACCGAACGAGACTGTCCAGGTGTCCTCCTAAAGCACCCTGAGAGGTCGGTCATCTCAAACAGGAAACCACAGATGGGGAAACCTGGTAACCAGGGCTATTTTGGGGCAGGAACGCACAGGAACGGAGTTACGGCTGGCTCCCAAGTTAGCCATGCCCAGGAGGAACTCATTAGCATAACAGGCCACACCCAGCAGTAGAAACTCATTAGGATTGGCTACATCAAGGGTGTGTGGCCTAACATGCAAAGGAGTTCCTGCAACAAAAAAAGGCCCTGGGTTTTGACAACAAAGTAAACAGAATAAGAAGCAAAAGGTGGGTGTGGCTGGATGACCACACTTCTGGTAACATGGGAATGCAGCCTAATATGCTAATGAGTAGCAGTCAGGGGTGTGGCCTAATATGCTAATGAGTTTCTGCTGCTGGGTATGGCCTATTATGCAAATGAGTTCCGGCTGGGCTTTTTCTACAAAAAAAAAAGTCCTGCTGGTAACCACTGCTCCCTCTAAGCTGCGGAGTCTTGTAGGCAAATATCCTACTTTGTGAGCTACTGTGAGCCAGTTTAGTGTAGTGGTTAAGTGCACAGACTCTAATCTGGGAGAACCGGGTTTGATTCTCCACTCCTCCACTTGCACCTGCTGGATGACCTTGGGCAAGCCGTAGTTCTGATAACAGCTGTCCTTGAAAAAGAGCACTTTCTGTCAGAGCTCTCTCAGCCCCACCTACCTCACAGGGTGTCTGTTGTGGGGAGGGGAATGGAAAGGAGTTTGTAAGCCCCTCTCCCTTGGGTAGTGAATGGCAGGGTGTAAATCCAAACTCTTCTCTTTTCTTCTACTGGCATTAATGTCGTGAGCGAGCAATTTGGCTGCTGCATAAATTCGTCTGCCCTGGAGCCCTCCTTTCTGAGCGGAGACAAAAATGTGTGAGCCGGAGGCTAAAAAACTGCGAGCTGGCTCACACTGACTTCCTTTTATCCGTTCTAACCCGACCGCTCAGCAATTTCATGGAGTGCCCAGGAGTTCTTGTATTGTGAGAAAGGGAGAAAAGTACCTCTTTCTCTACCTGCTCTACCTAACGTCTGCTTAACTTCTGAGATCTGACCAGATGGGGCTCGCCTGGGATACCCAGGTCAGGGCAAGATTAAAAACAACCCAGTCTTGCGGCCCCTGAAAAATGAAGACATTCATCACCGCAGAAGTTTTGGTGGAGGCAGATTTCACTCCACCAGATGCAGGAAGCACGTCGATTCAGCTGGGCTCTGCCTCCATCGATACGTTCATCTTTTTTGGGGAGGGAGGGGGCACAAGATTGCCAGAGATTACGACGGCTACCCTGCTGGAATCTATATTGAGTTTGTCATAATTTTTGTTTCAGTTTAATCATCACCCTTTTAATCAACCAACTACACTAAAAAAAAAACCAAACAGCTGAGATCACTGCTCCCTCTAAGCTGGGTGAGTGTGAGCTAGCTCACAGTTTTTTTGCCTCCGGCTCACACATTTTTGTCTTCACTCTGGGAGGCATGGCTCCAGAGCAAACTAATTTATGCAGCAGCTAAATCGCTCACTCACAGCTTTAATGCCAGAAGCTCACAGGGTAGAATTTTTGCTCACAAGACTCCACAGCTTAGAGGGAGCATTGCTTGAGACCCTATTTATAACGCTCTGACTTTGGCGAGGGTCTGTAACCGTCTTGTGATGAAGTGCCCTACAACTCTGCGGGATGATGCTTAAAAGCACCTCGCAGGATGACAGATGGAGAAGATGCCGGCTGCGAAGTCCCTTCGCTCCAACCAGCGTGGGGAGGGAGCTCTGTGGGTGATGAAATACCTCTGCGGAAAGGGCGGCTGCCAGCTGTTAGGAAACGGGGAGCTATCGCCTAGAGAGCGATTCCACGGACTAATTCCGACCTCTCCTGCAAAGCAAACGACAGGAAAGACGTCCGGGGATGGGGTCCACTCACATCTTTCTCGTAGGGGAATCCTCCGTTCTCGAGCTTGGAGAAGACCAGCTGGCCATTTATTTCAATCTCAAAGGCGCCTGTAAGCAGGGAAAAAGAAAAAGGAGAAAAACACCAGAAATGTACGCGGAGAACCTACGGAAGGGACCGTGACTCTGTAAACTCAAGCTCTCTCTCCCCTCCCCACTGTCAATGCCGAAGCAAAGCTCTTTCTTTCAGTCATTTCCACCCCTCCTTTCTCCCGAGTGGGGACTCACGAGTAGCTCACAGCGCTCTCCTCTCCTCCATTTGATCCTCACCACAACCCTGTGAGGCAGGTTAGGCCGACAGAGCGTGACTGGCCCAAGGTCACCCAGCGAGCTTTCAGGGCACGGGTGGGGATTCAAACCCGGATCTCCCAGAGTCTAGTCCTGCACTCGTAACCACTACGAGAGCCAGTTTGGTGCAGTGGTTAAGTGTGCGGACTCTAATCTGGGAGAACCAGGTTTGATTCCCCACTCCTCCACTTGCACCTGCTGGTGTGACCTTGGGTCAGTCACAAGCTCTGGCACAGCTGTCCTTGAAAAAGAGCAGTTTCTGCCAGAGCTCTCTCAGCCCCACCCACCTCACAGGGTGTCTGTTGCGGGGAGGGGAAGGGAAAGGAGTTTGTAAGCCGCTCTGAGACTCCAAGTGAAGGGCGGGGTATAAATCCAATCTCCTCTTCTTCTTCTCAAGAGCAGTCCTCGAAAGAGTTCTCTCAGCCCCACCCACCTCACAGGGTGTCTGTTATGGGGAGGGGAAGGGAAAGGAGTTTGTAAGCCGCTCTGAGACTCCAAGTGAAGGGCGGGGTATAAATCCAATCTCCTCTTCTTCTACACTGCACCGGCTTACTAAACTATCCATTCATCTGTGCCCAAAGATCAGCCGGTCCTATCAATGCCACAAGGGTGCCTCAAGCAAGAGACTGAGCGCATGGGGACGCAGCTCCCTGCTGCTGGTGACGGTGCTTTTGCCTCCAGTGCAAGGAGCCCGCCTTCGAATTGGGTCTGTCAGGTGGGGAGGGTTGCCAGCTCCAGGTTGGGAACGTCCTGGAGATTTGGGGGTGGAGCCTGGGGAGGACAGTGGGGTACAATGCCATAGCGTCCACCCTCCAAGAGCCCGTTTGGTGTAGTAGTTTGGAGCGCAGACTCTAATCTGGGAGAACCGGGTTCGATTCCCCACTCCTCCACTTGCACCTGGCTGGATGACCTTGAGCAAGCCATAGTTCTGATAAGAGCTGTCCTTGAAAAAGAGCAGTTTCTGTCAAGAGCTCTCTCAGCCCCACCTACCTCACGGGGTGTCTGTTGTGGGGAGGGGAAGGGAAAGGAGTTTGTAAGCCGCTCTGAGACACCTTTGGGTAGTGAAGGGTGGGGGTAAAAATCCAAACTCCTCCTCCTCCTCCTCTGCTGCCGCATCCATTTGCTCCGGGGGAACTGATCTCTCTTATATAGAGATGAGCTGTAATTCCAGGGGATCCCGGGTCTGACCTGGGGGCTGGCGTCCCCACTCTGAAGTCAAGGGCTCTTGCTCTGGGGGAGGTTCCTTGCACCAGGAAGAGCCCCCTCTGCTAGCAGAATGGATCCAAGCTGCCAAGCTTGCCTGGAGCACACCAGGCCACCTGCTTCCCCCTCTGGGTGCTGCCCCACTTCCTGGCTTCTAACCCAAACGCCAGCCTCCACCTCACCCCCCTCAGCCCTGGCTGTCGAGAGGAGTTCTGGGAAACCCCAGGGTCCCTTATCGGGGGTTCCTCCACAAGAAGAGCAGACAGGACAGACCGGCTTTCTCAAGCGACAGGTTTTCTCGTGGCTCATCTCCCCTGCAACTGGCAGCCACAGGAACACAGCAGGCCCGCGCGAGGGGGCCTTCTCAGTCCACGCATGTCAACAATGAAGCTCAACTTGCCAAACGGAACACCCCTCAGATGCCCAGCACTGCTAACTTGGCCTGAACATTTTTATGCCATCAGCATGCTCCTGATGCTTTCCAGCTTGCAAATTGCGCGACGATTCGGTGTTCCCGTGTCACTGCCGCAGCCACGCAGTGTGAGTCGGGCAGAGGGCATTCCGCCAAGAACGAGATCTTACTAGGAACTGCTCGTCTCCGCATGGAAACGTCTTGGGTTGAGATGTAAAATTTCTGGAAATTTTGAAGCTCGGAAAAAAACCCAGGTTTTTTTCAGGGGGAAACGGAAATTTTCGGAAAAATTGAAAAAAATGCTACATTAGCACTTCTTTTTTCGTTTTCAGATTGAAAGTCATTCTGTTACTTTAGGAACATAAAATATGACTATGGGCATTTTTACTTGGCATGAAATTATCACAACTAGCTATTAAAAATATAGTGTATCCAAACAATTATTCCAAACAGAATACCCAGCAACACGCAAAAACAAAACTGAAACCTTTGTCTTTTCTTGTGACAATAGCACCTCCTAAAGGAAGAAATGCATCTTGTTCTTGCATTGGAGAGTACAGTTTGTAATCTAGGACTTGCTTGTCCTCAGTGCACAGAAATTAGATCAATCTGATACCATACATATTTTTAGAAATGATTTGGAAAATATTTGAACACCTTGTCTTAAAATATTTTATTCATCATGTTAAAATAAAAAGTTCCATAATCAATTTTTTTTCTTTTCTTTTTTCAATTTTTCGGAAAAAAACAAAAAAGGCTTCAGGGGAAAAATGGGGAAATATGTTTTTTTTCCGAATTTTCCCGGTTTGTTTCTGGGCCTCCACATCTCTAACCTTGGGGGCCATACCTGTTCCTCCAAGTCGGGACTCGATCTCCACATCTGGATACTCCTCCTTGACTGCACTCGCCAGCTCCAGGTACGCGGACTCAAAGCCGCAGGGCTTGCTGGGAAGGGAAACGCAGGTAGTGTGAGAGAGGGAAGCAGCCAGCTCAAGGATGGAGCTGCTTACGTCAGATGAATAAGGAAACCATGTGGGACAGCGGCAGGTATCCACTGCATGCTGTTGGCACGTAACTGACATTTTATGCCTTCCTTTCAGATGAAATTGTGTAGTGGAGACAGACCCAATGTCAGTCATCAGTGCTCTCAGAGCTCTCTCAGCCCCACCTACCTCCCATTTATATCCCGTCTTCCTCTTCAATGGGGACCCAAAGAGGCTTCCAGTGTTCTGTTCCATTTTATAGTGACGACAACCCTGTGAGGTAGGTAAGGCTGAGTGTGAGTGACCAGCCCAAGGTCACCCGCAAGTCTGCATGGTAGAGTGGAGATCCAAGCACACAACTCCCAGATTCTGCTCTGACGCTCTCCTCACTCTACCCCACCGGCTCTCACGTGTTTATGTTGTTTTAACAGATTTTTATTGGTTTGTACACTGCATTGGGGGGAAATGCTGCCTTGTATGCTGCCTCTGGGGAAAATATTGGGGGGAGAGCCAGTTTGGTGTAGTGTATAAATGTGTGGACTCTAATCTGGGAGACCCAGGTTTGATTCCCCACTCCTCCACTTGCAGCTGCTGGATGACCTTGGGCAAACCATCGTTCTGTCAGAGCTGTTCTTGAAAGAGCAGCTCTCAAAAGAGCTCTCTCAGCCCCGCCTACCTCACAGGCAGTGTTCCCTCTAAGCTGAGTTAGTGTGAGCTAGCTCACAGTTTTTTAGTCTCCAGCTCACACATTTTTGCCTTCGCTCAGCAAGGGATGGCTCCAGAGCAAACTGATTTATCCAGTAGCCAAATCGCTTGCTCACAACTTTAATGCTAGAAGCTCACAAAGTAGAATTTTTGCTCACAAGACTCCACTGAGGGAACATTGCTCACAGGGTGTCTGTTGTGGGGAGGGGAAGGGAACAGGAGTTTTAAGCCACTCTGAGACTCCAAGTGAAGGGCGGGGTATAAATCCAATCTCTTCTTCTTTAAAATCAGCACACCATGCTCCCATTTGGTAAACTCCTATGGGGTACACAGCGAGGTGGACCCAGCACAAATCGCTGGTGGCGTGTCATAACTAACGACAGGCCGCCAATGCACTACATTATTTTTACTGGATTATTAATCAACGACCATCGATAAACACAGTTTCCTGTTGAACATCAGTAAATTAAAGATTGGGCTTAGAGAGTTCTCCTCCCCTATTAGTAGTAAAAAAGGGCACTGTTAGCAATACGTCCCAGTAGCTTATTAATATTGTTTAATAAAACTCAATTCGTTTTTAATTATTTAATATTTATTTATTTATTTATTTAATATTTAACAAGATAATAAAAGTAACACAAAGTGCCTCCTGGGGTAGAACCTACGCCAACATAAGAAAGTCCGCCCCGTCGAATGGAGAAAGGGGCGGGACCTATCGCTCGAGGGGGCGGAGCCAGGCGAGAAGAGTAAACGGCGAGACTACGCGGTGGGCGTGGCCACAGGGGGCGGAGACTGCAAGGGGGTGGGCACGATTTTTTCCCTTTCCGTAACCACGCCCCTCCCTCGCTCACCAGTACTCGACAACGATCCGGACTCCTCTTCCGGCCTCGGGCGGGGTCTCCGCGGCGGGGTCCCCGGAGCCGTCGCTCATCGCGCCGCCTTCGCCTCAGTCCCTCCGCCAGCTGACGCTTTTTTCCCTCCGGCTTTCGCTAGGCCGAGAGCCGCATCCGGAGCGGAGACGGACTTCCGGTACTTTCTTCCTCACGTACCGAGCGAGGGGGGGAGAAGGAGTACTTCCGGTTCTTTTGCGCGCGCTGGCTTTTGTTTGTGGGCTTTCTGTCCAATCCGCGCCCTCGCCGTAGGGAGGCTTCGGCGCCGCCTAGCGAAGCTGGTCGAGAAGCGCCGCCTCGGGGGGGGGGGGGAGGGGGACCCCGCCCCCCCCCCCGCGGTTACCATAGAGACGCTTCCGGTGTGACCAGGAAAAAAGTGGGTTTTTTTGTCTTTATAATTTTATTTGAAATTGAGTACAAACAATTGAATATCAACAACTAAACCACATACAACGTTTCAGAGTAACAAGACAAATAGGATTACATAAACTTCAGAACAGAAGGGTTAATAGTGCAGTTATGATGGGTAACTGGAATTTTGGTTCAGCATAACCTGTGGTAGAGAATTTGTTCCAAGGATGTATCATTTGTGAGTCCAGAGGCACCTTTAAGACCGACAAACTTTCCTGGAAGGCCAGATACTGAAGCTGAAGCTCAAATACTCTGGCCACCAAATGAGAAGGGAGCACTCCCTGGAGAAGGCCCTGATGCTGGGAAAGATTGAAGGTCAAAGAAGACGGGGACGGCAAAGGATGAGATGGTTAGACAGTGTCACAGATGCAACGAACATGAAGTTGAGCAAACTTCAGAGGACGGCGGAAGACCGGAAGGCCTGGCGTGATCTGGTCCATGGGGTTGTGAAGAGTCGCACTCGACTGTGCGACTGAACAACAACAAAAAGCTTTTGAGTGCATGCACAACTGCGTATTCTAGTATAAATTTTACTCTAGGTATAACTAAGAGCTAGTTTGGTGTAGTGGTTCAGTGTGCAGACTCTAATCTGGAGAACCGGGTTTGATTCCCCACTCCTCCGCTTGCAGCCAGCTGGGTGACCTTGGGTCAGTCCCAGTTCTCTCAGAGCTGTTCCCTCAAAAGGAGTTCTCAGTCAGAGCTCTCTCAGCCCCGCCTACCTCACAGGGTGTCTGTTGTGGGGAGAGGAAGGGAAGGAGTTTGTAAGCCGCTCTGAGACTCCCTTGGGTAGTGAAGGGCGGGGTATGAATCCAATCTCTTCTCCTCCTCCTCCTCTTCATGTGCGTTCTGGGTAGAAGTTTTATTCTAGGTGTAAGCATTCCCAGATACACTGGAACAGACTCCCTCGAGCCTCACATATAGGTAGAGAACAAAGCTTGAATCCAGTGGCACCTTCAAGACCAACAACAGTTTATTTTGGGTATAAGCTTTCATGTGCATGCACAAGTGTTTATTCTGGGTATAAATTTTATTCTGGGTATAAGCTTTCATGTGCATTCTGGGTATAAGTTTATTCTAGGAATAAGCGTGTGTGTGCATGTACATTTTATTCTGGGTATAAACTTTTGCGTGCACATGAAAGCTTTGACCCAGAATGCACATGAAATCTTTGACCCAAGAATAACACTTGGTTGGCCTAAAAGGTGCCACTGAACTCGAACGTTGTTCTGCTGCTATACACTCGCTGCCTACACCTGAATCTGTCAAGTCTAAACAGTTGTAAACAGTGCGCCTGTGTTTTTAACTATAATAGGGACATCCCAACCTCTCCCTCGTGGAGCTGCGGTGGCTCAAGTGGTTAAGACGCTGAACTGCAGGCTGTGGAAGGTCAGTAGTTCAGCGGTTCAAGACCCGGGTGCCGCAAGACAGGGTGAGCTCCTGTTTCTAGTTCCAGCTCCTGCCAACCTAGCAGTTCGAAAGCAAGAAATTGCAAGTAGATCAATAGGTACCACTTCGGTGGGAAGGTAACAGCGTTCCGTGCGCCTTGGTGTGTAGTCATGCCGGCCACATGACCACGGAAACGTCTTCGGACAGCGCTGGCTCTTCGGCTTTGAAACGGAGAGGAGCACCGCAACCCTAGAGTCGGATTCGACTGGCTTTCGAGCAAGGGAACCTTTACCTTTACTTTAACCTCTCCCTCATACTTGATAATATTCATGTTTATGGCTGCCATGTGGGCCCCAAAACCTGAATTTTCCTACCCATACAGCAGCCATCCAAGCTCCGTTGCAATCTTTCCCAAAACTCTGGAGCAGAGAAAGTTTGCGAAAGGCCGGGAAAAGCCAGGGAAATCTCTGTAGGTGTGCAAAGGCACCATGATCTTGTGGGAAGGGGGGGGGGAAACGACATCTACCCAAAAGCATTGCACCTGGGGCAGCGGATAACCTGTGCAGAAATGGCCTAGGAGAAAGGTGTTTCTTTGCAAGGGAAGAGGCCAGAGGCTTACCTTTTAAAAGAAAGAAAGAAAGAAGGGAGCGGTGGCGCAGGGAGTAACAGCACCTGCAGTAACATCTATAGCGAACAGCCATAATGGCTGTTCGAATCCCCACCGCGGCCGGAGTGAGCTACCGGCCCCAGTCCCAGCTCCCGCCAACCCAGCGGCTCGAAAGTAATTGCAAGTAGAGAAATGGGTACCTGCCTTAGAGGCGGGGGGCACCCTCCTCCTGGTTTGGAGGGTCCATCTGGAGCCCGCTGATGGTCGCCGCTCGCTGGTATGCCGAGACTACGCCGGAGCCACCGAGTACGGAGAGAAGCCTGTCGTCCGGGTGCTGCTAGGCAACCCCTCCCTGCACAATTGTCGCCCTAGGTAGGATCTGACTACAATAATGTAGGCCACTTGTAAACCGCTCTGAGACCCAGTAGAGGTCATGAGTGGTATAGAAGTCACATGTAAATAAAAAAATAAAAATAAAAACTGGGAATTGAGAGAACCTACGACACCTATAGTTACAATGGTGTATCAATACAACAGTATTCTAGAGCCTAAAAAAACCTGCACAAACCCTGGTGGCCCAAGAGAGGGGAGGTGGCCACTTCTGGGGGACTGGGGCAGGGAAACTGGAAAACCTGCTGTGTGGAAGGCCCATTGCTGCTGCATTTTATCTGCAGGTGGCACCAGCGACAGGGAAAGCACAAAATCCCGCCCTGTGTGGAAGCCGCCTTTGTTAACAGTAGTGGGTGATACAGAACTAACATTGATAAGTAGTACTTTGCCCAAACGCTCTAAAGTGCTTCACATATACTAGCAATAATTCTGTTGCTATGATGACATTGCAGTTTGGTGTAGTGGTTAAGTGCGTGGACTCTGATCTGGGAGAACCGGGTTTGATTCCCCACTCCTCCACTTGCACCTGCTGGATGACCTTGGGCAAGCCATAGTTCTGACACAGCTGTTCTTGAAAAAGAGCAGTTTCTGTCAGAGCTCTCTCGGCCCCACCTACCTCACAGGGTGTCTGTTATGGGGAGGGGGAGGGAAAGGAATTTGTAAGCCACTCTGAGACTCCTTTGAGTAGTGAAGGGCGGGGGATAAATCCAATCTCTTCTTCTTCTTCATTTTATAGATGAGGAAGCTAGGGTTGCCAACCCTGGGCTGGGAAATATCTGGATATTTTGGGAGGTGAGGCCTGGGGAGGGCGGTGTTTGGGCAGGGGAGGCACTTCAATGGGGTACAATGCCAGGGATTCCGCCCTCTGAAGCAGCCATTTTTTTTCTCAGGGGATCTGATCTCTGCAGTATGGAGATCGGTTGTAATAGCGGGAGATCTCCAGGCCCCCACCTGGAAGTTGTGCAATCAAAGAAAAACAACCACAACCCATTACTAGTGCAGTTCTTATCTCTAGTGAATAAATGGGGGGCGGGGCGTCTGCTGGTTAATGGCGGACGCTAACTAACTGCGCTCCACACCGAACCTCCAAATCCCCCGAAAAAGCAACGACTTCCACTACAAAAGATCAATCCCAGAGTATGGGAAAACTCGAAGAAAAGAAGACCAAACCAGGAGACCTAATTAAAAACAAGATTAATACCTTCTTTACTTCACAAAGCGCAACCGGAGCCGCGGATCGAGATAAAACTACAACAGACAAAATGGCGGCCGGCGGAACACAAGACACAGGAGCAGCACAGAATATAACTAAAGAATACCTGAGAGAAACTTTGGGACAATTTAAAAATGAAATCCTTGAAAACCTAAACGAGATTTTAAAACCAATAGCGGAGCAAATAGAAGCAGTAAAAACCTCCATGCAAAATGTCATGCAAACAGCAGATACAGCCATGGAAACGGCTATAGCAAACCAGAATAATATACAACAAATGCAAAAAAATCAAGAATGGGCAAAGGAACGTATACTAATGCTAGACTACCGAGCCAGAGAGAGATTTTTGAAATTTAGAGGCATCCCGGAATCGGCGGAGGGCACAGAAGACCTAACATCATTCCTCTCTAACTGGCTGGTAAAAACTATTCCGTTTGAAGATGAGGTGGCCCCGATGATCACAAGAGCTTACAGACTTGGCCAGAAGAACAACGAGAAGAGGAAATTGCCCCGGGACATTCTTGCAGAATTTCTGGACTTTCCAATAAAAAACTTCATCTTGCAAGAAGCTAAAAACAAGGGTCCCCTCAAATTCAATGAAAAGGACATTTCAGTATTCCCGGACATTCCACAAGAGGCGATACAACTCAGACGGGATCTAAAACCCATCACAAAGCGTCTGCAAGAGGCGAAAATCAAATATAAATGGACAATCACAGGATACCTTCAGATCAGGCTACGAGGCAAAACCTACCAAGCAGAAGATTATGACTCCGGCATTGAGCTGCTTGAAGATCTTGGATTACAAGTTCCAGAGGACATGGAAACGGAGAAGGAGCAACACAATAATCGAAAGAGAGGAAGAGAGGAACAGAGCTCACCTTATAAATGGCACCGCATCCCAACGAGACGCAGAGTGCAGCTTTAAGTAAAGTATAAAAGACTGTGCTACTACCTGTTTTATAAGCAGGGAAGTCTAAAAGAAGATATACTAGTTTAATTATGTGTGACAAGGGGGAGGAGGGAGGAAAGGAGTGGAGGCAGTTGGGGAACCGATGACAAGGCAAACACTACTTTTGTTATATATGCTTTTTAGTGAGCTGGCAGTTCCCACAGGAGAGCAACGTCTGCTCTGGGGGAACAATTCTCCCACCAAAGGGTTCTGCGTAGGGAAGAGGGGGGAGGGGGGAAGGGGGATGTTTATGATGGTTTTTGTGTTAA